AGAAAGAAAGAAAGAAAGAAAGAAAGAAAGAAAGAAAGAAAGAAAGAAAGAGAAAGAAAGAAAGGAAGAAAGAAAGAAGAAAGAAAGAGAGAGAAAGAAAGAGAGAGAGAGAGGGAGGGAGGGAGGGAGGGAGGAAGGGAGAGACTGCACTCAATGACAAAGTATGCCTCACTTTCTCCTTTGTAATGAAACATCGTTAATACTGACTTCTTGTTGGGATTATTAGAGGCTGCCCATTGTCCCTTTGCCTTTATCTGCTAGTTAGATGCTACTGCAGTCATCTGTGTGCTTGCTTTGTAAAGAGGCTTTTTTTCCCCCTCAAAGAGCTTCTACCTGCAGTACTGTTCTATTGGGTAACACCTAGTTTGAATGTTGAGTTTGTTTACATACAAATTAAGAAAATGAGAGCTCTGAATTGGAAACATGATATTTCTTCTCCCCAAATCCATGTATCAAAAAAGCATATTGTTCATGATGATTGAGCTTACGTTGTCAGTGTAGGCAGAAGGCCTTTCAGTGGCTACATGGTCTTGAAGAGGAAGTCCATGGCTGGGCATCAGCAGACTTGGGTTTCTACGTCTGGCTCAGTCCTTGATTAGCGTTGACTCACAATTCCAGGCTTCCATCTCCTTAACGGAAAACAGGCATCTCTCTGTCTCAAAAGCTCTATGCTTTTCCCCTTGGTTCATGGCCAAGGAAGTTGTATCTAAGCCCAAACCAGGTTGACCATCCAATCAATTTAAATTTGAAAAAGTGGAATATACTGGCAGTGGATTCCTTTTGAGAAAAAAAAAATCAGCAATGAGCTACTTAGAGTCAGCCCAACTCTTTGTGAGTATTCGTGAGGGTTCCTCCTTCAGCAACACACAGAATCCAGCCAGGTGAAATCCCAGGCCGCCTTTGCCAAGATAAGCCAGAGCTTGCTTTCTGAAGACAAATGTGAACCAACAGCATAGAGATGGAGGCCCCAATAAAAACCACAATTGTGGCCTCCTTTGTCTTTTTGCTCGCTGCAGCTGTCCAGCATGACATATATGTAGATATGTACAGTTGATGGACGAGAAATGTTTAGTAGCCCAGAACAGCTTAGACAGAGAAGCCTTTCATCCTTTCTGCACATCACGCCCTCCTCCATCAGCACCACAGTGTGTGAGCTTCCTACATATTCTCCCAAGGCAAGAGGACAGGAATGAGCACATTTCTCCTTTGGGTTCTGCCATTCCTGGAATATACAACCTTGTCAAGAACAGAAGATCACAGCTTTAATGTACAAGTAGCAAGACTCGTAGGCTTTCCAACATCTGCATTATAAGCTCTTGAACAATGAGCCCATTTGGGTATGTCCCTTATGGCCAATGAAGAGTCTCCTCCCTTTAAGCCACCTTGGAATCCAGAGAGTAGTCTTTCCTGTTGCCCAAAAATGCTGAATTACACACCTTGTCTTTCTCTAAGCTGGACAACCTCCTTTTCGCTGTAACACTTCTTGGGAAAGACCCATTTTTTATACAAGGCTCTGGACTGCTGTAGAAAGGCACAAATGCTGCTGGAGCCTAGATGTGTTGGGATGAGGGGTGGGAGGCCCTCTCTACATAGCGCTGAGGGCACCTTTCTCTGTTCTGCTTCTGTCACTCTGTATGTGTCTCTGTGAGTCAATCTCTTTGGTTGTTTTGGGTTTTTTTTCCCTGCATTTCTCTGGGTGTCCCAATGCATCTCTTACCATCTCCCTGCATCTCTCTGTCTCTGTCTCCCTATGAATGTGAATATCTCAATGTGGGTTCCTCTGTCTCCCTCTCTTTTCCCTCTCTAGATCCAGAGGGATGTGGAGACACCAGATTGGAAGACATGTGTCTACACATGTTTTGTATCTAGATGGCTCTCTTCTAGTCACCATGTCCCTCTGTCTTTATGTCTCTGAATTTGTTTCCCCCGTGGCTCCTTTCTCTACCTGTTTTTCTGTACATCTTTTCCTTTCTCTGAGATCTCAAATGTAAATAAACTTCTCCATCAACTCTGAGGCATTTCACAGATATTATTTATCATAATACCTTAATCTTCTGAGGCTAGGGAAAATGAAGGGGCCACAATGGGAAATTTGGGGATACTGCTGATATCATATAGGATGTCCTGGGATAGAGAACAAGAGAGAAGATTGAAGAGAGGAAGCAGATAAGTAGAATAGGCACCTCTGCTCACTCTCATCTAAAAGACACCTAGTCTAATTTAAAAGCATTTTCAGACATGCCTGCTTACTATTCAGGGACAAAAAAAATTCAGCAGCCTAAGAATTTGAAGTCTGAACATATTTCCAACCATAGCTAGCTGAGAATAGACTGTATAGGAGAATCCTTTTAATGAAGAGAAATCATTTCTAATTATAATTAATCAAGTTGCAATTTTAAAAGAAATGTCCCATCTATGACATATATGGGAACCCCTTGCTTTGCACTCACCTCCCAGGTTAGGGATGCAGCCTGGTTTGTTAACTTGGCCCTTTGGTGGGATGACAAGAGAATTCGGAAGAAACATTCTGTTGGAGACAAAGTATAATTGCATTTATTAAGTATCATTATTAGTCTGTTTTCAGTTACACAATTGGTGGTCCATAGGTGATCTCTAGATCACCTCTTCACTTGTTGCAGGTATATTCCTTGGGCCAACGCTGAATCTCTTTTTGCTGCCATTTAAACTTTTTTTTAAAAAATTGAGCAACAGTTTTTCTCTCACTCAAAACAGTTCGTGGCTCTCATTCTTTTCATAAAAATAAATTGTTGCTAAGTCACAGGAATAGAAGATAAGTTAGAGGCCCTGTTATAGTCCAGCCTGCTGTCCAATGACCAATTATGTAATTATTAGTCTGTTTCACAATTATTCAAAGCACCTGGGGAATTGTGATTGACAGCAATTCCTTTTATTCCTTCACATTTTCCTCTCCTTTCCTTCTTTATATCAGAACCACTGACAATATGGGAACAGGCTGCTGTGAGAGATCCTCCTCCTGTTGTCCTGGCCTGTCTCTGCCTACTGAAGGAGCCCCTAATTTGGGAGGGTGGTGGACAGTGGAGAAGGCATTGAGTGGCATGGAGAAAGAGAGAAAGACAGCAAAATGGCTCCAAGCTCTCAAATAGCTCCTTCTCAGCTGGTCTGCTGAAATCCTCAGCATTAATGTCATCCCCTTGCAAAGCGTCTGTGTCCAAAGCATGTCTTAGCATTTTAGGAATGTGTTGCCTAAGATAGCTAATACATTAACTCACTGGTAGAATTATTACCGTATAAACACAGGCCAATTCATCACATCAGATATAAAATGAACACAGACAAGCAAATTTATTATGCTGGGTTGGGGGAGCAGGGCTGATACTACCCAAGCAGGTGCCTGAGGAGGAGCGTTGAATCTGGACTACAGAAGATTGCTCCCTAGGGATTAGAGGCCTACAAAGCAGAAGAGAAGAGGATAGATGAAACACCTACTTTTGTCCTCCGAGCAGGGTTGATAAAACTCACTGCAGGCAGTGGCCTAACGTTAGTGAGCAATAAATGAAGGGGGAATTGCAAGAAATTAGGATAAATTTACCTAGTACCTAGGCTGGTGATTGTTAGCCCAGGCAGCACATTAGAATCACTGGGGCGCTTTACAATAATGCTTAGGCCCTACCTCCCAGAGTTTCTGATTTAATTTTTCTTGGTTGGGGCCTGGAAAGTAGTATACTTTTAAAGCTCCCTCGGTATTTCTAAGGTGTAGCCAGCATCGAGAACACTCAGACAATTGACAACTACTCATAAAATGCTGGATATTATTTTAAGTTTTCAGTCACATAAAACCCAAGAGAAGTGGAGGAAATGACTACGATTTTATAACACTGAAGAGCAGAATTTCTCTATGATAGCCTCAATGGATCAATCCTGAAAACACACAAGGAAAGCAGCAAAGCTAAATTGGAAGGGATTGAGAGAGTCAGGCCTCTCTCTTGAGAGCACCATGGCAGACCAGAGTGAAGGAGGAGAGTACTTCCATCGGGGATGCTGGTTGGAGACAAATATTTACAATGCCAGAATACTTCAGGAAGGCTTCAGATGGATGACCCTTAACCTTGACTGTACACTAGAATCATCTTGGAAGCTTTTAAAACCCCCAAATCCAAGCCACACTCCAGACCAATCAAATGAGAATCTCCAGGGATGTGACCCAGGCAACTCCACTTTTTGAAGCTTCCCAGTTGATTCTAATGTGTAGCCCAGGTTCAGAACCATTGCTTTTGACATTATTAATGTCTGTTTGCATTAAACTTTGGCTCTTTTTTTTTTAAAAAAACGCTGAAAGGAGTACAGAGAAACCAGCAGACTCCCAGATATGGGGACAAAAGATTAAAAACAAGACCAAGGGTTGGGTAAGAGTCAGGCAAAAAGGAGTAGGAAAAGGGAAGAAAAAGAAGAGAAGAGGAAGGCTAAAGAAATCAAAGGAGAGGGAACAGAAAGGCAAGGAACAAGGATGGGGCAACACTGCTCTCAGGGCTACAGGGTGCCCAGCCCCATCAATTAGCCCCTCTCCATGCAGATCCCCTGAAGCCCCAGTCCATGACAGGGGTGTGGACCCTATCAGACATTGGCCTCAGAAGCTCTAGATCACCTCTGCACTTGTTGCAGGTGTATTCCTTGGGCCAACCCTGAATCTCCTTTTGCTGCCATTTAAAAGACTTTTTTTAAAAAAATTGAGCAACAGTTTTTCCCTCACTCAAAACAGTTCATGGCTCTCATTCTTTTCATAAAAATAATTTATTTCTAAGTCACGGGACTAGAAGATAAGTTAGAGGCCCTGTTATAGTCCAGCCTGCTGTCCAATGACTGCATCTTCTCTACAGCAACCCTGAGCCGGCCCCAAGCCCACTTAAGCCCCTTCAGTCACCATGGCAACTGGCCCCTCTTGAGTAGTTCTTTGTGTAAGATCAGAATTTGTTTCCCTGGAGCTTGTACACGTTGGATGTGAGCCAACTGATTGGAGTCATAGAGAACAAGTGAGATGTCACGGGAACCTAAGACTTCTCTCATTACTTTCATCACCTGCTCTCCTACTATGTGGTTTGAGGTTCACCCTCCAACGCCTGCCATCTTCTCACTGTCCTCCAAATTCATGTAAGTTTACTTGCATCTCTTCGGATGTGTCCCCCATACTCCAGAAACTCTTGAAATGAACTGTTCAAGAGGCACCCAGTGCTTCTGGGAAATCCACATTGCAGAGTTAAGATGAGAGAGTGTTAGCAACATCTACATGGCAGAGACTCCAACGTCGTTATCTCATTACACTTTTAAATACAAAAATGAATATGAAAACTTTACCTCTGATATTCTGGAGCTCCATTTTGCAGAGGCTACTCGACCCTTTAAGGCTTCTCTTATCTGGATATTTAACAAAAGAAGTTAAGAATTAAAAGACTGTAAGAAGATAACACATATGCTTGAGCCTGGCAGATGTTGTGGCCAGGTACTGTGTGTTAGCAGCTAGGTTCTGTTGGAGGGGTATGGAGGGATCAGTGACCTGGTGGAGCAGTCCTGAAAAAGGTGGAAAGATGGGGAGAGACAAGAGAGGTGGAAGTGGCACAGGATACTCATTTTCAGGGCCTTAAATATGAACCTAATGGCTGAGAAATAGTTTGCCACAAGTTTTAGGATTCCTTGACATAGCTTTGGCATTATTTTTATGGAGCACTTAAGTAGTTGTTTCTCATGGTTTGTTGATTATTCAAACCACCTTTTCTAGAGGAAAAAAGTACTCTACAACTGGGCATGGTGGCTCATGTCCTATGCTCCCATCACCTGGGGAGGCCAAGATGGGTAGATCACTTGAGGTCAGGAGTTCGAGACCAGGCTGGTCAACATAGTGAAACCCCCAACTATTAAAAATACAAAAATTAGCCAGGCATGGTGGTGGACACCTGTAATCCCAGCTACTCAAGAGGCTGAGGCTGGACAATTGCTTGAACCCAGGATGTGGAGGGTGCAGTGAGCGGAGATCTCGCCACTGCACTCCAGACTTGGTGACAGAGTAACACCCAATCCCAGAAAAAAAAAAGTGCTATTAAATATAGCAACAGTCCATGAAATTCATGTTTCCTAACTAGATCATCCTGTCCTTTTCTCTATGTCTTATCTGCTGAATACAGGCCCCCTTCTTTTCTCTTTTCCTTTCTGCTATACAAAATATTATTCACCTTCCAAGGCCTTGTAGAAGTTCTATGTTCACAATTCACATATGCCAAAGTCCTTCAACTCAGGGTGCCTTCTCCCTTTCCTGCAGACGCCATATTCCTTGTTATATACAGACCTCAAACTACCCCACAGGGTTGGAGGACGGTGCACTCAAGGGCCCATTGGGATTTGTGAAGATACATTGGCACTTCTACTTACATTTCTTTGTTCTCACCATTTTTTTACTCTGAGGTTTCATAATATACATAACACTTTTTAAGTTAATAATGAACACATCTGGGGACTATGCTCACTGTAGTTTACTAATCCTAAAAGTTTGAAGACTACTGGTTTATACAAATTTTGGTCAATGAATCATGTATGGGCCTGTGACACTTTTAAGTATTTACCTTTTATATCATAATTGTTAAGGTAAGAGGTTTTGATCGTGATAGAAGGTTCCATGGCTTGGAGGTCTTTGCACATCTCACCTAATACTGGTAAACTAAGTAAAAATGCTGCTGCTGGTACTCTGGCAACAGATATTAGTTGTGGTCTTATGAATAATAGAAACAGAGCCCTGTGGCATATGACCGGGCAATACTTTTAAGTGTTTTGTGTTTTTACCCTCAAAATTACATTTGTGCTTTGCCATAATCTAATGGAGAAGGCAGAGAAAGCATTATTTTCTCTGCATTCCAACTGAGTACATGAAAATATCAAGACAAATACTTTTTCTCCTCTGAATAATGTTTACTAGATTTATATGGTATCCTCATAAGACAATGAAAGGACCATAGTGAAATTCCTCTTTCATAAACCTTTTTTTTTTTTGAAATGGAGTCTCACTCTGTCAGCCAGGCTGGAGTGCAGTGGCATGATCTCGGCTCACTGCAACCTCCATCTCCCGGGTTCAAGCGATTCCCCTGCCTCAGCCTCCTGAGTAGCTTGGACTACAGGAACATGCCACCACATCCAGCTAATTTTTTGCATTTTTTAGTAGAGACAGGGTTTCACCATGTTGGCCAGGATGGTCTCAATCTCCTGACCTTTTCACAAAACTTTGATACTAATTTGATAGACTATTACAGCAGTTGGCTAAGCACAGTAGCTCATTCCTATAATCCCAGCACTTTGGGAGGCCAAAGTGGGTGTATCCCTTGAGCTCAAGGAGTTAGAGACCAATCTGGGCAACACAGGGAGACCCTGTCTCTATAAAAACTTATAAAAATTCGCTGGGTGTGGTAGCATGTGTCTGTAATTTCAGCTACTCCGAAGGCTGTGGTGGGAGGATCACCTCAGCCCGAGAGGTTAAGGCTGCAGTGAGCTGTAATGGTGCCACTGCACTACAGCAAGGGCAACAGAGTGAAATCCTGTCTCAAAAAAAAAATTAACGTTCTTTTCTCTAAGTCTTGCCAGCTGAATACAGGTATTCTTATTTAGTAAAAAAACAAATAAGTAAACAAACAAAATCTCTGCAGTGAAGGTGCGGTGCTTGGAGGAGGGAGTGAATTATGCTTTTATTTGTTTGGGGGTTTTTGTTTTGTTTTGTAAATCCAACCTGGTATCGTTCCTTTTCATTTTTATTTATTTATTTACCTTAATTGACAGAAGGGATTTGTATTTATATCTGAGAGGGTTGTTTGCTTTGCCTTTTCCAGAAGGTAGTATGGTACAATGGAAAGAGGGTGATCTTAGAAGCCTGAATAAACGTTTGAGGGTGTGTTCATTTGCTTGGTTTTTATTTGTTTTCTACACTCATCAACTACCTAGGCTCATTTGTATTTGAAGAGTTCCTTTTCTTGACTCCAATGTTGTTCAAGATAGAAATAGGAACTCACTCTTCTATCCAAACTTGCAGGTAAGACGTTACCATGTGACCTGAGCTCAGCCAATCAGACATGACTATGCATGAATACAGGTGCTGGTGTACCATCAGGCAGGGTGAGGTGATCTCCCAGGCAGCAGTAGCAGCAACTCTGCCTGGTGAGCTGTGCTATCTGTGCCCAGCAAAGTGGGGAAGAGCAATGGTATCTCTTGTGGAGCATTTCTGTGCTGTGCATTGGCAACTATTCTTGGAGTACAGCCTCCAAAACTTCAAGCCGAAGAGACCCTCCCAAAGATAATAATTGTGAGATTTAATAAGTTCTTTTTCTGCTTCAACTAATCAGAGTGGGCTTCTGTAGTGATCTTGAGCAAGCTATTCACTCTGAGTCTCAGTTTCCTCATCTGTAAAATTGAAAATAGTAATATCCACAATTGCTTTAAGAATCACCACTAATGTACATAAAACATTTATTCCCACAGGAACTTGCAAGCTGGTCAATATCATTTGCATTGTAAACAGCAGTGATGCAGGCTTCATGCATCTGTACAAATGATTGAGGTGAAAGCTTTATATGGCCAAGAACTGATAATACAGAAAAAGCAACAAGAAGAATTTAAATTCAGTACCTTTGGATCCAGGATGGTTCCAAACACTAGGATGAAGAAGCCCTGGGAAACAAGGAAGAGGGAAGAAGAGCCATTTACAAAATAATGATGATAATAATATATACTCCCAGTTTTTATCAATTCTTATTTTGATAAAAAGAAAACAATTTTATAAAATCTCTTAATCTTTCATTCTTAGATCACAACACCTACATTCATTCATTCAACAAATATTGATGAGTATCTTCCATGTGCCAGCCACTGTAGAGATACCTCAGTAAACCAAAGAGACCAAGGTCCCTACATCATACAGGAATATTTTTAAAATTTCCTTTTAAGTTGGGCAAATTAAAAGTGTTTGCACTTAGCGGGAGCTGGGCCTCTCATCTGAATATAATGATCCAAGAGAGAGTCAGAGGAGGTGTTAGGCAATGGAGTACAGGCTTGCAGTTCCTGAACAATAAGTAAGAGAAGAAGTTTCCACAGAAAAGAGCAGAAACAGCTGTTGCTCAGCTTCCCATAACACCTGTAACCTCCTTCTTTCATCCACGACAAAGAATATTATAAAACCTGCAAAGAAAAGTCAAGTGTATACATCCTCAAAAAAATTAATAAGACATTAAATAGATTGAATTTCTAAGCACATGACAAGTATTCCCAATGTGATGATATAGAAGGAATTAATTAGCGTTTATATCTTTTATTTTCCATACAAAAAAAAAAAAAACATATAAAACCCAAAACAGGCTGTTCCTCTATACCTATAGTCCATTTGAAGTTTTTACTTCTTTTTCACATACATTGGCAAATAAAACCCTTGAGGAAGGAAGGATAGGTTGTAGTTCCATTTTTCAGTTAAGGAAAAGGAAGTTGAGATTCAGCGTTCAAAATGTGATAGACAGCAACATTCATTAGACAGTATCTCTCCTAAATGTGCAGTTACTTGGTCCATGGCTCACCCGAAAAGGGAGATGAGATAATGACCTTTTATTTAGGAATACCCTTGCTAAGTTGCTCCGACATCGTAAGTGAGTTTGAACTCTTACCTACCCAGAGGCCTGTTAAGGTACACGGGTTTTATACAACTGGCACCATAAAGATGTTACAACCTGGTATTCATCACTGAGAACAATACCATAGAAAACCTACTTCTACCACTACTAAATAAAAGCCCAGATGAATGGTGGAGGATCTTACAGGGACCAGTGTACATCCATGCAGCTAATCCAGTCCCCCAGACACACTAAAATACACCTTTCTATTCAGCAAGTCCAACCCTCAAAAGCTTAATCTCCATTTAGCTTTTATGAGATTGTTCTTCTGTGGAACACTCTGAGCCTACAAGGTAATTATTGAAATTTGTTATTGTATCTGCTACAAAAAAAAATCATTGTTGGCATGGTCCATTAGGTTACAAAGTTATCATTCTTATAAGGCCCCTTGGGATAAATATAGTCTAGCCTGATTTTGGTACTAGGAATACATTTTAACTCAGGTGCTCCATAAAATTGGCCCAGGAATTGCATTTTTTAAAGATCTGGGAACCACAATTCCAGCATGTTTTTTTCCACAAATACACTAATGGCTAATATTCTTTGGCTAAACAACTAAGAGGAATTTCTCTCCTTATAAGATTTTTAAATCCTTGGGGTTGGCCTATCTATATTTGTATCTGCAATATTAAGCGTAATGCTTGGCACAAAATAAGTAATAAATGTGGTATCACTGCATTTGAGTGTATGTATGTGTTTAATTTCTTTATTATGCAACCTGCACTTTCATAGTCATCAATATGTAACCAGGAAATACACCACTAGTATCACTTTTCATTGTCCTATGCCACCTTAGAGAAAGTTACGCAAAATATATTTCGGAAAATTTGGATAAAAAATTGGTCATAAAGTTTAGTATCTGGTTGAGAAGGGAAAAGAGAATATACAAAAAAATTCACCAGTAGCAGCTTCTTTGCATTTCTTTTAGTAGGTAAAGCACAGTTTGGACAGGTAAGTCTCAAGGTATTCTCCAAGGTTTTGGTATATGTGCTTTATTTTTTTCCTACCAAAGCAGCTATGAGAGGGTCCCCAAAACTCACTCAGCCCACAGTTCCTCTCAGTAAATACAAGAGTAGGATGTCAACCAGAAGTTATGGATGGACAAGGTGGGCAGCTGAGGCAGCAATTTACTCCATTATAAAACCTCCATAGTAGAAGGGGATGGTTGGGCTTCAAAACCAGTGCAGATATTCCCCTGGGGCTAGAACCAGGAACTCTTTACAAGAGTCTTCCTCCTTAATCTCCATATAGCTTTTATGAGGTTGTTCTTCTGTGTAACACTCTGAGCCTACAAGGTAATTACTGAAATTTGTTATTGTATCTGCTACAAAAATAAGACTGTTGGCATGGTCCATTAGGTTACAAAGTTATCATTCTTATAAGCCTCCTTATAAGAAATAGTCTGGGCCTCTCAATATGTTTTAGATTCTCGCCCCTCTGTCTGCTCCATCAGCCTCCTCTGCTGCCCCTCATCTCTTCTTAACCGAAGACTCCACTTCTCCTGCTTTTTCCACCCAGTTAATTGTGTCTCCCATCTCGGTAGATCTGTGTTTCTTCTCTCTCTTCCCTCAGAGGTTGCCCTGATCCAGTGATATGCTAGTAAATGGCAATAAACTCTCCTCATTTGTAGTGCATGCCAATCTGTATAATCACACCCACCATGGCCTATTTAAATCTTGCCCTGTGACATCACTGAGCACGGATCTAGGAAGAGATGGGCAGTAGCACATCATTGTACAGAGTTTCCACCATGTGGACACAATAGATCCAAGAACCTCAAGAGAAAAGGTAGACAAACAATTACGAAGTGATGAGTTCTGAGGATTCATCACCTTTGCTTTTAACCCAATTTGTTTAATTGCAAGTCTATATGATTTAATTGTTACTGATGACTGTGTTCACAACCAGCTCAGAAAAATCCTGAAAATATAATAGGTAGCTCCTGTGACCCAGTACAAGGCAGCTCCAGCACGGCACTGCCCAGTGTCCTCCCCTGGCCTCTAGGATAGGAAAAATTGGTAGCTAAAAATTCAATGGTATCTAAAAATTTTAAGTGGAAGGAAACGTAATAAATGTCCAAACTTTAGTACCTCCAGTTACATACCTAAATTTTGGGGAAGATGTTATTCCTTAATTTTTAAACCGTAACAATTCAGCCTGTTACTAGGCTGTCTGTGATCTTTAGATCATTTTAGTACTTGATGCTTTCCCATTCACCATTTTCACTTTCCAAACACCCCTATAATGTGGACAGTATTGCACTCATTTTACATATGACAAAAATATGGCTTGAAAAAGTTGAGTAAATATTCCAAGATCATGTTACACATTATTAGTAAATGAAAGAATCAGGATCCAAATCCACATCTTTCTGGAACAAAAGTTTATTTCCCTACTCTATATGCTATTCCAAATCCATTGGCTTTTACATAGAAATCTAATGCCACAAGCTTCTAATCACAGAACATCTTCATGAATTTTCTCATTTTGGACTTGGTCAGAAGCATCTTGACTTACCTGGAATGCATTGAGCAGGGAGAAAATAATGTGGAAGGCCAGGGTTCTGTCATTGATGACGGTGGCTACTCCAAATCCCCAGGTCAGTCCCAGAAGTGGTGTGAGGATGGCAATGTTCTTGCTGATTCTCACAATGGCTCTCACTTCCTGGAACATGGAATTGCCAATGGCGGCTCGCTGGGTCTTGACAATCACCAGTGTGACTGTGATCAGGTTTACTACCACGATGGCCAAAGCTGGGACCACGAAGGCCAGGAGGGCTCTGGTCATGTCCCAGTTGAGCCAGCAGGCCTCAGGTCGTAGGTAGCCTTTGCCAGGCTCAGTGGCAGCAACCGTGATACCAGCAATTACCAAAGGGCATCCATAGCCCAGAGAAAACAGAGATGCCACCAGGACTGATTTGGGCAAGGTATGGAAAACAATCATGATTCCGTAGAGGATAAGGAGTGCCTTGGCAAGCATCCAGAAAAACACAGAAAGGTAAAAGAAATGAACAAAAAATGTTGCTGCCACACATCCCTTGTGGTGCGTCACTGGACCACTAAGAAAGGAAGCTACAATGAACCACACATCAGCCATCAGCAAAGTGGCCGCAATGTTAACAATGCACACATGGCGTAAATAGGTGATCTCCGTCTTCGTCACTTGGCTCCAGACTAGGACCTCAATGGACAAGCAAAGGATCAGGCTGCAAATAGAAATACCCAGGCCTACATATGTGATGTAAGTCAGGATCGGACTCTCTAAGATATGAGGTGACATAAGAATTGAGAAAGAGGTAAACAACTTGCTTGGCCTACATTTGCAAACAGCTTGCTGGGAGTTTTCTTGAATCATTTTACAGGCCTGCTGGTCCCATCTGCTCTCCACAGAGTGCCAGCCAACACACTGTGTCCTCCTCTCCTCTGACTTGCTGATCTTATCAAAAATCAGTGAGATTCTTTTAAGTTCCTTGGGCAAAATGACAGATAGCACAAGCCCATTTACAGTAACATTTTCCAAAAGACTGGCTTCCAAAATAGCCCCAATAGTTGGAAATGCAATGCTGATGACCTGAGAAGGTGAAGTCACCTTCCGAAGCTCATCTCTACTGATCAGCACTCTCCCAGTGACTTCATTGCTGGTATCATTAACTCTCATCGAAAAAGTGAAATTTTTTTCAGTGTTATCTCCAGATATGGTGATGCCCATAGTATGAATGAAGGCATCTGATATGTCAACGGGATGTTTATCTATGTACAGCCTTCTGGCAAAGGAGTTGACTGAGTGTAGCAGGACAGAGCTGCTGTTTCTGTCAGGAATGAAAGTCCAGTTGGAGATGCTTTTGCTGTTAAGAATGTGGTTGGCTATGGTGCTGTAACTCTGCAAATGAAGAATCAGCATTAGTACTGAGCCACTCTCTGAAACTGCCAGCGCATTCAACACTCACTTTTATAAAGTGTGCTCCTCGAACCAGCAGCAGAGGCATACTCTGGAAACTTCTTGGCAATATAGAATCTCAGGCCACACCCAGACTTAATGAATCAGAATCTGCATCTTACTCCCCAGGTGACTTGCAGGTACACTGAAGTTTGACTTAGATGATAGAGCTACAAAGGAATTGCCTCACCATGCCCTCCTCCATTTATGCAATGCCCTCTTGTAAGCCAGCCCACTGGGTAGCCTTTCACATGCTCATGTTCATCGTCCCCTCCACATCACACCTAGGCAAAACTAGCCACTTGCTTACTCTGCTCAGAGAACCCATCATGTGATTAGCCTCTGTTGCACAAGAACATACTAAATTGGAAATTCACCCTGGTGTCTGAATCTACCTTTTACTATCCTTTGCTTTGAAGATCAAAACCAAACAAAATGGATCTAGCTCTATTTCACATATCTGCAGTGGATAGGTATGGCTGTTTTCTTTGCATTCAATTATTTTCCATTTTAGTAACCTATCCTAACTCACAACTGAAAGAAAGAAAAGTCTTTCTTTCTCCAGAACATAGAATTTTTCTTAAATGTATTCAATAGCCAAAAGATACACTGGTAGATCATACTCCAATGTTTACTACAGTACTAAGTGCTCTCTATAAATATTTGTTAATTAAATATGTTTACTTTTCCCATTCATTTATTCATCCTTTCTTTAATGAAGATTTATTGAACACTTGCTTTGCTAGACATTAGAAATACTGATGGGAAAGACATGGTTTCTAGTCCCTAAGAAGCTCACAGAATACTCCAACTAACCTGTATTCCTTTCCCACTGAGATAATGCCCTACCAAGTATTCAGGGACACTCACCTGCATCTTTGTCTCATCAACGCCTGTCCATATTGCTGTTGATATGTTGTGTAAGAGCTGCACAATTATGGCAATGTTTCCTGGTATCCGGGGAGATTGCTGAATGTTTTTAATTACACAAGACAAATCCGTGGGACACTTTTGTAGCAATATATCTGTTATGGTGTCAGGCTTTCCATGATATACATTGATTTTTACATTATCTGCAAATGGCTGAACCAAATATAAATCCTCCTGAGATATGGCAAAAATAAAGAATTTTTTATAATTTTTATTTTTGTGTTAAATGTAAAAATACCTTTACTAAAACTTAGGACAGCCTAACATAATATTTTTCTGTTTTACATTTTCAGTGTCATATCTGCTGTCAAATAGCTTGACCAATACCAAGTTGTACAAACCAGCAAATAAAAGTCCCTACTTCCCATCTACCTACTCTTTAACTCCCCTCTCCCCAAAGAACAACTGTTATCTTCAGCATATCACTTCAGATAACCTGTATATATAGAAATATCTTGTGCCATTTAAGCTTATTTGTAATATTTATGAAGGGCAAATCATGAGACATGAGTCTATCTTAAAAACAGAAATTTGAAACTAGATTTGTATGAATCAACTAGAATACCAAGACTGAAAATAGCAATAGACAATTCTCCCATAGATTCAGACTCTAGTTCCCACACTTTGAGGGGAACCAGGGGTGGCAAACTATAGACCCAGGCTCCTTGCCTGGGTTTTGTAAATAAGGTTTTACTGGAATGCAACCAGCTCATTCATTTAAATACTGTCTACAGCTGATTTCATGCTACAATGGCAGAGTTGAGTAGGCACAACAGAGACCATGTGACCTGCAAAGCCTAGAATATTTCTCTCTGGAACTTTACAGAAGAAGTTTGCTGACCCTTGCTTTAGAGGGCCCCCTTCTGGCCCTCCTGCAGCCTGCTTCTTCACATGGCCTGGAGTCTATGGGCACAGAGTTTCAGGTGCTCAAAGTTTAGAAGGCGATTTTTGCACAGAAAGGTTAGTGGGTGCTTATCTATTTACCTAAAATCATCCCTACATGCTGCCCCGCCCCATGCTCATCCTGTCTCTTATTGAGGGCAATACCCACTGCTAATGGGAGGCTCCACTGTTCTCATAGAACCCACATTAGAATCCATATTGCAAAAGAGAAGATATTACCTCAAAGATGTTGAGGGCGTTAAGAGTCCGGCAGGTGTCAGTGAGCTTGTGCCATGTCTTTTTCCTGCATGAAAATCCCATATTTCCCTGAGTATCTGGAGGGCAAGGTTGAGTGCACTGGGAGTTGTCTGTACAGACACCTTCACATACACCTGGGAAAATGAAAGGAGACCATATCAGATGGGAAGGTCTGGGATCTGGGCCCACTGGGCCAGTCACCAAGGTGTCACTGCAGTGACAGCCCATAAATCCTACAGATGTCACTGTCTTTTCTTCCTAAAGTGGAGGAAGACTGAAATGGATCAGTGATCATCATCTATTTCAGCAACAAAATTTTATTGTTTCCAACAAAATCTTATCCTGAACTCTAGTGCATAAAACAGATGAAAGTGGAACTGTCCCAGGTGATGTGAGAGGGCCGAACCCACCGTGCAGTCCACTAGGTCACTCTCACACCCTCACAGGAACCCCCGAATACTTCTTCAGATCCCTGAAGCTCCCCGGATCAGCTCTAGTTTGGAATCCACTGCTCCCAATATTCTCTAAAAAGCCTCTCAGCTCAGGAACTCTATAATAAGTCACATCATCAATGAGTTCTCAGACCTGTTCTAGCCACTGGCCCAGTTTGAATGGGCTCAATCCAAAGGATCTATGGCAAAGAATTCTCAGACAAGGATGAAGCAGAGGGTGCTGGGTGGAGAGAGGAACAGGGCTTGGGTGAAAGGTACAATTTATTACCTGGTACTATGCTCACTACCTGGGTGGGATCATTTGTACACCAAACCCCAGTGACATGCAATTTGCCAATGTAACAAACCTGCATGTGTACCCCCAAACATAAAATAAAAGTCAAAAAGAAAAAACCTAAAGACAAAGGTACAATTTAATATGAAGGGAAAAAAAAAAATCAGAGTCCACGTGCAAGTCATCAAGGATTCCACTTGCCATGCCGTAAGACAGAGGGCTGAGAATGGCCCTCTATTTCAATAGATGGACAGTAAAACTTCCATGTTATAAGTAACTGCTGCCAACATACCATGTAGCCTGGCATGTACCTTCTCCTTGCTTTTGCTGGTAGCCTAGAAAGGGAAAATCAAAATTCACATCAAAATCAATTATTGATATGCCAGCCCAACTGCTCACTTTAGTCACAAACAACAACAGTTAAATTAGCTATGATACCAGAATAGCCCATTCAAAGCTGAGTCCATGAGTTATGGCCCCTCTGTGACCCCATTTTCCCTTCAGCCTGGACCACTTTCTTTCCCACTGCAACTTAGTAGGAGCACTTCTCTCTCCAGTAACAAGGGTCAATATTCTATCCAGGAAACATGTTACAAGCAGAGGTGGTTTCACCAGGAACTTGATGAAGGTTAAGCCTCAAGTCCCTTCCTCATATAGGACCTTTTAAAGCTCTGGGAGCGGATCTAGCAGTGAGCATATTGCTCTCCTCTCACGCTTAATAAGCAGATGATCTCACATGTTCACATGATCATATATTTTATTAAATTCTCAAAAGCAAAATGTTTTAACCACCTGCCATCTGTTAAGATCATCATTTTTTGCCACTTCAATTCAGCCTCCTTCGTACTCTTCCTCATTTTGGGTATCACTAGAGAAGCTGTATCCATTTATGGAATGTGGACAAGTTAAGCTGGGGATACATTCAGTTTGGATTTAGTAGGATATACTTACGTAGTTTCCAGTCACTTCTGCATTACAATCAGAACATCAACACTTAAGTGACATCGGTTCTAAGAACATTTACAATTACTCACAGAACAAGAAAATTCTAAGTTTCCTGATATTGTGCAGCTCATATATGAAATAAATTGGATAGAATTTTCCCAAATTTGACAACAGTCATGTTTACATGACATTACTAATAATAAATTAGAAACTGAAAGATACTTTTCTAGACTACCAATAATAAGAAACAAATTTGATCAATAATCCTGGAGGAAAGACTAAACAATATTTCTATTCTCTCTATAGAAAAAAATTATAAGATCATGCAAGTATGCAGTCAAAAATGTAGGAACTAAAAGGTGGGCATCTCATTGACAAAAATATTGGCTTATTAATGAATAAATGCTAAATAATACTATCCAGAATTTCTAAATTTGAAATTTGTTATGACTCCTTTTCTCATTCTAAATAAATGTTCACTTTCCCCTTAGTTTTGTATTTATAATATTGTATTCTTTTTCCTTAGGAAGACTCCCCCAAAACCTAGCTCCCCCATCCTGTGAGGATCTCCATTAGAACCCCCTCCTTATCCCATCCATCAAGACCATACCTGACCATTCACTGACAAAGTGTCACATAGTGGTCAAGGGATGTGCTCTGGGAACAGACAACCTGGGTTCAAATTTCAACACCAATATCTGCGGCCTTGGGAAAGTTCATCTCCCTGAGCCTCAGTTTCCCTCTTCCATAGAGTAGGAACTGCAGTGCTATAATTGTATGACACTAGCCCTAGAGCATTTTTATGAGGAATAAATGAGCTCATCTATGAAAAGCATTAGGAATGGGCTCTAAGAATACTATAAGTCTATTTAAGAATTTACTACTGTTATTATTCTGAAAATAAACTTACTGAATGTCGATTACATATAAAGCTCAAGTTTCCCCCTTCCAAGAGGTCTTTCCTGATCCAGTTCTGTAATGATACATCTTTTCCTCTGGCTCCTATAGGAATCATCCACGCAGCCATACACACATTCGACAGTCAGCATATTCTCACCTGATCTGCCTTTTTGCTGTCTAATCTTTTTATAGAAACATATTAACTCCTTGATTAAATTACAAGTTCCTTAAGAACATAGACTGTGTATTGTGCTTCGTTATATTCCTCCAAGTAGCTAGTTCAGTGTCTTATACATATGTGTGTATGCATATATACATTTTAGTATGCATATATATACTGACATATATATTCATGTGTGCATGTGTGTGTGAGGAAAGAGAGAAAGACAGTTTTCTTGTTTCTGTACCAGAATAGTGTTTCCTAGTGGCTGAGAAGAGCCTTGGCCCTATTAATCCAACTTGAGTTCTAAGTTCTAAGCCATTGAGGAAGAAATTGGAAATTCACTGACGCAGCTCTGTGACTAACTTGGGGTTCATGCCAACTCATGGAGTTCTTCTTCACAACCTTACTTCTCTCTATGTTATCAAGAAACAAGGCTGAATATTCCCTCTTTTCTCTATCAAATAAGAATTTGAGGAGAATCTGAATTAAGCTTTTGGGATCTCTCCAAAGTCAAGAGAGTATCACTGAGGATTCATATCCATGAAATCAACTGATAGAAGATGACTTTTCATTTTATAGTCCAGAGAATCAAACCTTATTTTATAGGTGGAAGAATTAAAGTTCTTGCACGAAACAAGAACACTAAAATAATAGTTTCAGAACTTTGGAAGACTTTATAGATCATACAATCCAGCCCTCTTATTTTGCAGTTAAGGAAAATGAGGCTTGGTATTGCGGTGATTTGCACAAGGCCATGCAGGAAATTCCTCTTACAGCTAGAACTAGAACTTAGCTCTCCTGATTCTTACAATACCACTTTTTCTAAACAGCCAGCCTGTGTCCTAGTGCAACAGGTAGAGGGGATGAGTGGAAGGAAATACAGGCATCTCAGGATACTCAAAACCCACCTTGATAAGACCATGGTCTTCAATATAATGTGATAAATGCAGTTATAAGTCAACACCTCTGGATGATACTCGGTCCATTAAACTCTAGTCAAGTCACATTATATTTATCATGTTTGTGGACAGAAAGCCATGATATTCTGTTTACCTGGAGTTCTGAAAACTTTGCTTCCTTAAGGGAAGGACCTGATTAATTTCTTCCCATCTAATTTGCCAAAAGACTTCACATACTCCTCTGCTTATTTCATTTCTAGTGTAGCATCCAGTATATATCACTTTAGCTTTGGATATCAACAGACCCCAACCTAATATAGTGAAAAAAAGGTACTTGCAAACCTGCCACCTGCTCAACCTGCTGAGCTGCCTGGGTGCATAGGCAGGTCAGGAGCCAGTAGCATAAGCAGCTCAGCACCCAGCAACTTGTCTAATGAGAAGAGAAGGATAGAATGTTCCCAGTAAGGTAAATCCCAGTGATCAAGAGAAACAAAGCCAATCTCCCATGCTCTGCCTACTGTCCACATTCTGTCTTGTAGAAAAGCAAGAATGTGGAAACGCAATGAAAGGAGGAAATAGTAACAAGCTGTAGGGTTGGATAGTCTTCAGAAAATGGTCTTTCCAAGAGTCTCTAACTTCTCCCAGAAACCAGGTACCTGTTTAGTATTAGCAGGGAAGGGGAGCCATGGAGAAGATTTCTATGCAAAGGCAAACTAACTTGAGGGTAATGTAAATATCATTTGAAAAACTCTCGGAAGGAACTTCCAAAGTCATTTTTTCCTAAGGAAGCTCTTGTTAAGAAGACATACATTAAAATGGAAAGATCAAGAAGCTGAAAATCTGAAAACAGGGGTTCTGGCCTTGGCCCTGTAACTGAATAAGTATGTACCTCAAGCAAATCACATCCCACACCATGGGTCTCCATCTCCCCGACTGCAAAATAAGGGAGTGGAGTTTGCCAGTTGATCTCAAAGCTCCCTTCCAGAACTTGTGGTCAAGTAATAGTACTCTCTTAAGAAAATGCTCATAATGTTCTCATGTATTCTCTCTCAGTGCTCCTCCACACTTTATTTTAATGAGTAACTAACAGGGAAATTAAAACGACTTATGGTGTGAGGGAAAATATTTCAGAAAGAGCCATAGGACCCCGTCCTACAAAATTTAAAACAGTGCGTTGCCACAAACTCCGTCCCAGTGAGACTTTGCTTAACTATTGCCTTTGTTGCTCAATGCTCCTTCTAGCCCATTCATGGTGTTCACTATCAGGTTTCTCATAGGAGATGCTATTGCCATTTTGGATGGGACAATGCTTCATTTTGCCAGACCATTCCTACAACCTGCCTCTAAATGCCACTAATACCTCCTGGTCATTGTGACAACCCTTACCACCCCCACATTTTCAAGTGCCACAAGGAAACTGTACCAACCTGGTTATGAGCAACTGAAACATTCACTATCAGATGATACAGAACAAAGTGTTTGTTACTCTTAATCACTTAAGCCTCATTTCATCTCAGGAACTCACGGTAAAATTTGAGAGAAAAACAATGTGTAGCTATTGACTAATGTGGGTTTTGGTTAGCTGTAGTTGCAATTACTTCTGGCTGGGCCAGTCACTCTATCACCATCTCTTCTCTACACTTCAGCTCTCTGGTAACCAAGAGCTAATTACCTGACAGATTTTATTGCCCATTTGCTTTCCCCACCAGTTCATCCTCCATCCCTTCCCCTTTTCTTACCTGGTACAATGTCCTACAGGACTCTGTGGGCAAAAGAAACACCAAGTAGTACAGCACAAGTGTATGAGTCATTGTCTTCCACACAGCTGACTTTCTTGTTTCTACAAAAATAAATAAAAAGGCAAAATGTCTCCAACCTGGAGCTTTCATAGGTTCCATGCCACTGCAGACCCATTCAGTTCACCTATGAGACTGGGCCGTCTTCCATGCTATCTACTAAGATTTCTCTGCTCCAGAGGTGGTGTCCTGTGGCCTCCCATTGACTTCATTCTCTAAGAGGCTGTAGTGAGAGCACAGGACGCATTGGGAGGCACAGGCAATCGCTGAGATATTCCCCACCCTCTGCTATTGGCTTGCATGTCACTCCTAACATGGGAATCCCTCCAAAGGTAGGTACTGCCTGCCAGATTTCACCTTGCCTGCATGGATACAATAAATAACAGCCTGTGTTCAGGGATCAGGAATGATGGTTCAGTCCCTGGGTTAGGCAGAGCTGAGAAATGTGTGGGTGGCAACAGAAGATGAGCTGGGGTTCCTGTGGGCAAATTCAGCCTAGAAATATCTTTTGAAGAGGCTTGGCCTATTATTCCTCATTCTCACCTAACTCTGGAGATATATGTTCATAGGTAACCGGTGATTTCTTCAAAACTGATCTTGCACATGGTCTCTTTATCATTAATTCTACCAGAACTGATATCAAAACTGATTTCTTGACACATAGAACAGGGCTTGACACATGGTCGGCACATAGTATATTCAGTAAGGAAGAGGAAGGTAGGGAGGAAGGATGGAGGGGTGGTGTGTCAGAAGAGCTGATAATTTGCATCTGGGTCTGTGCTCTATAGACGACTCACCTAAGCTAAAAACTTTAATATTACACTTTAATAATAACGTTATTTTTTATCTTCACTTGAGATCATCCCTGAAAGCTATTTGCTGTTTCTTCATTTGTAGATAAAAGGATTCAGAAGATTTGAATGTTATCAACAAAGGCCAGAAGCAATTACAATGGTTTATATTTGCTATTTGACCATTTTCAGCCAAGAAGTACTCTAGCCCTGTCATGCATAATTCCATAGGAAACAATGTCATTACTTTAAAGACTTGGTAAAATGCATTTTCCAATCATGTTTCCTCCATTGAAATACTTGCCTAGCTAAAATTTCACAGAAATCCAATGATTATTTAAAATATTTCATATTGCCAATCTCAGCCTATTATTAATACAGCTGTCCAAACATTTGTAGTTCTTACACAAAGAGGTCCCTTTGTTACCCATCACTTTAAATGTATTTTGTAGCAACACAGATGGACACACAATTTCAAGTAAAATTTCTAGCCACATTTTCATTCTTTATTCCTAAGTTATTCAAACAGATGAAAATTATGGTATAAAAATCATCAAACTGACCTATCAGAATTACCACCAATGCAATTACTACTTTGGGCAAAATAATCCAAATTGGAAAACATTAAAGCCATTGATGAATTTGATGACATAATGCTCACGACACCTAAGACTCCATGTTTTTCTGAATCAAGTTGATTTTATCTTTCAAAATTCTTATCATACAAAATGTTCTTTTTCTTAACTAAAACTAAATCTAAAAAAATGATTTAGGGAATGATACAGACAACAAACTTTCATAATGTTAGCACTAGTCAGCTCAGAAACTCAAGCAGATTTTTTAAAAAAGAAGTTGTATGATCAGCTGAGTTCTACAAATCAGGATGAAACGCATTCTGTTTGCTTAAAATTTTAATGTAATATGTTGAAAATGTGTTTACTACATTGTCATTTTGCTTTCCATTTTAAATATTAATTTTTATCAAAAATGCTTTTGACTATTACTGAAATTACATTTCCGTTATGTCCAAATGAGGGCTTTGTGTTCTCAGTGGAAGCGACTTTCATTATACTTTGCAGGATGGCCTTTTTTGATAGTTATGCTCCTGCTCAGAGTCCAGAAGTTTCTAACATTTTCTTTACTTCTCAAATCTACCTTGTAATAAAATAACTGAGGATCACAACTCTAACATGCTGTCTTTTCCCATGTTTCAGCAACAGTGTGATTTTAATTTCTAGTGTATTTTTTAGCCTTATCTAATTTCTTTTAAGAAGAAACGTTTCTTAAAGTTGACTTTTTAAAAAACTCAGCTTATAAAACTGTTTGCTCTTTAAATTAAGTGGCATGTTTTAATCTGGGCTTGAATAAAACTATTTTTCTTTCAGAGTTGTTGACATTAAACCACAGTCATTAGCTTTTTTTCCAGTTCTATGAAACAGAAAGTGGCAAAACAGTAGCTCAAATCTAATCTTTGTTCCACCCACCTCCCATCCGCCACAGCCACCGTCCTCATTTTCTGGTGAAAAGCCACAGGTGTCTAGTGGCTCTGACCTCCCTTTCCCAGGTCAGCAGGGGTAGTTGGAGTATAACTCTTGCCTCTCAAACAAATGTTTGAAATGTTGGTTTCACATATCCTAAGCTAAAAACTTTTATTATAGACATTTATCTCAGAAAAGGTTTACCTGTCAAGAACATCCAACCTAAAAATAAGTCACTTCATGTGATTCATATTAAGAAAAATAAAGCAATTACATCAGTACTGAAATGTCCTAAGGTGAAAAATGCCAAATATAAAAGTATTAGAATTTTTTTTAAATAAAAATTAAGAAACTGTTTTCTCTCTCCCTTATTTTGAAAAAAAGGCGGGGAGGGTGGAGCAAAAAGAGGAACAGCAAAGTATACCAGTAGGATGGCTGGATCTGTAAAGAAATAACATTTCTAACCCTCCAACCCATTCTCTGCTGTCTGCTTTCCAAAACTGAAGAAGGTACTTAAGATGTTAATCTATGTGTTTGTTCAACAAGCAAAAAATGAGTCCCTTATGTATGTATGTCTGAGCAATGCCCTAACAACCAAAACAAGGATGGCTTCCTTCCCACAGCCCCTCACAGCTCCAGGAATTTACAGTATGAGAGATCTGAGGCATACCTGAGGGTCTGGGAAGTTGGACTGGGGCTTTCTCCCTAGAGACTGTAAGGCTCTAAGAATCAAAGCCGATCAAATCAGCATGACAGGAAACATTCCAAAATTACAGATTCCACAAATCGAGTCTCATCTTTGTTTGCAATTTCATTTCAGAATATCTCTTCCTGTTTCTATACAGAATTTCTCTACCTAAAAGCCATAGGGTTGACTGACCACAGGCCCAGCTCCTGAATGTAAGACAAACCAGGCAAAAGGAAAACATCTGAGCTACAGGCTGGAACATGTTTGGTGTTTGGCTCCTTTAGAAAAAAAACATTTGCTTGACTGAAAAATACACACACACACACACACACACACACACACACACACATGCGCACACACACAAAGCAATGGAGACAAGCAATTTTATGACAATTTTGCAAAGAAATTTTAAAAAGTCTACAACTTAAACTCCTCTGCCTTAAGAAAAAAGAAAAAAGTATTAAAATAGAAGTCACGAATCACAGTAATCAAAAGGTAAATAAACCTCCAGACAGAACTTTATCAGCCAACCAGGAGGATTTCCATCAACAGCTTGGTAAGCTGACAGTCTGCGGCCGCTACTCGCATAATTAGGCTTTGCAATGAATTACTGAGATTTCAAGTGAGATTTCATAAAGTGCTGTAGAAATTCCCAGACAGAAGGTGGGTATTCACTTCAGATGATCTCAGGAGTGGAAGATCTCAGTGTCTGTCATTAACCATCCCACTGCTTTCCCTTTAATCCATCCCTCCTGCCTGAATACAGACATTATGAAAGGGAAATGAAAAACAAAACAGTTGTTGTCTGTTTACTCTTTAGGAACCCAGATCTGCAACTTTTTTTTTTTTTTTTTGAGACAGAGTATCGCTCTTATCGCCCAGGCTGGAGTGCAGTGACGCGATCTCGGCTCACTGCAACCTCTGCTTCCCGGGTTCAAGCGATTCTCCTGCCTCAGCCTCTCAAGTAGCTGGGACTACAGGTGTGCACCACCACACCCAGCTAATTTTTTGTACTTTTAGTAGGGACGGGCTTTCACTGTGTTAGCCAGATGGTCCCAATTTTCTGATCTTGTGATCCACCCACCTCAGCCTCCCAAAGTGCTGGGATTACAGGCGTGAGCCACTGTACCTGGTCACTTTTTTTTTTAAGTATGTCATATGTCTTGTTTAAAATAAGAAAGAGCTGATCTTTGGGGTTTTTTGTTAGTTTGTTTGGGTCTTTTTTTTTTTCTGAGACTCAGTTTTGTTCTGTCACCCAGACTGGAGTGCAGTGCTGCGATCTTGGTGAAAGAGCTGATCTTTGAATAGGGTTTAATTTTTTCAGAGCATTTTCACATACTGGCATACCTAGGAGATTCTGTACGTTCAGTTCCAGACCACCATAATAATGTAAGATTGCAATAAAACAAGTCAAAAGAATTTTTTGGTTTCCTAGTGTAAAAGTTATGAGTACACTATACTGTTGTCTATTAAGTGTGCAACAATAGCATTATGTCTTTAAAAAGTACATATCTTCCTTAAAAATATTTTATTGCTAAAAATTGTTAACAATCATCTGAGCCTTCAGCATGTTTTAATCTTTTTCCTGGTGGAAAGTCTTGCCTCAATGTTGATGACTGCTGATTGATCATAGTGGTGGTTGCTAAAGATTGGAGTGGCTAAAGCAATTTCTTAAAATATGACCACAGCGATGTTTGCCACATTGATTGACTCTTCTTTTCATTAAAGAGTTCTCTGTAGCATGTTACGTTGTTTGATAGCAGAACTTCTTTTAAAATTGGAGTCAATCCTCTGAAACCCTTCTGTTGCTTTATCAACTAATAATGTAATATTCTAAATTCTTTGTTGACATTTTGACAATGTTCACGGCATCTTCACCAGCAGTAGATTCCACCTCAAGAAACTGCTTCCTTTTCTGATCCATAAGAAGCAACTTCTCATCTACTAAAGTTTTTAATGGGGTTGCAGCAATTCAGTCATATCTTCATGCTTCACTTCTAATTCTAATTCTCTTGTTAGTTTCACCACTGCTTTTACATTACTGTCTCCCTCCACTGAAGTCTTAAACCCTCAAAGTCATTCATGAG